AAAAAACTCTAAGAATCAAATTTACCAAACTATTTAAACATTTCTGACCCTACCTGTAGGATGTATTCTTGGTTTCTGAACATGTATAGGCAGCGGATTAAACACTGCCCACCCGATCGGGTTGTCAGCCGGCACGATCAAGGTCGACGGCTGCAAATCGTCATTAACAGTCACTCCAACCCCGTACCACTGAGGAGGACACAGATGATGTGAATATTGTGTAGTAATAAGCATATCAGCCAGCGTAGTTCTTCTCGACATTCTCGAACCTCGTCGATCATCGAATGTCATACGAGATTGACGTCGTTCGTCCATCAGATGAACACTAACCGACTGTAGCATTGTTAAGGTAGTAGGTGATTACTAGTAGTATATTAGTAGTAGAGTTTCGGAGTGCGTACGAGTCAACTGTTGCTGTCGATGTGGCAAGAATAAGCCGTTTTTCTCCTTAGGCAGCTACTCCGGGTCCCTCGACGACGATTTCGGAGCTGTTCATTGCTTGAGGAAGCTGCGCGAACAAGTGTGTCAGGCACACATAGTGCTTATATTGTAACAAGTTGCCTTGGTAAATTACTCCATGGAGACTTTTTGTCAAATTGGGGGAAAATAATCTTGATAGCACTATAAATGCACTGAGCAAGGAGGCCCCGATGTCATTTTTATTCAAGTGCAGATGGTCAAGATTGCAAAGTGAAGCGGAAGGAGCTGCGTATCTGGTTACACCCAAATTCGAATAGTATTCGCTTCATCTGGGAAATATTTGTTTGTCTCAGTAGATTTCCTCAAATGGGCTCTGATTATAGGAGATTTAAAGTTCAAAATCCCTTAGAAGCTCCCTGGCTAGCCCTATTTCTGGAAGAACAGCCATCCAAGATGTGCTGAGCTCACAGGATTTCTTTCTTCTTCCGATTTTTCGATACAAACATGATTTTGAGGATAACGGCAACTCATAAAATCCTTTCTACACCAACATGAAGCGTAGAAGTATAGTGATTTTACGATATTTGAAGTTCAAAATCCCTTAGAAGCTCCCTGAATGTCCCTCCTTCCGGACAAGGAACCCACCCGAGATGTGCCGAGCTGACAGGATTTCTTTCTTTTTTCTTTTGATTTTTCGATACAAAACTGATTGTGGAGATGACGAAAACCTATGGGATTCCTTATGCACCAATTCTGAAGCGTAGAAGACATTCTTTAAATAGATATAGACCCCACTCACAATGTGAGTCGTTCGCTAGCAGTGACGAATACGACACCCTAGGGCATTTGAGTTATCGAAATCATTCGCGAGGTGAGGCATCTAGATCGCGAAATTTTCGGTCATTGAGATGCTTAAAGGGCTAAAAATTCTAGAAGAAGGTAGTACAAGTGTTGAAGGACCCTTTCTGACTTGTACTCATCAAAAATCCAATCCATAACCTCCACTTACTACGAAGATTTT